GTAGCGAGTGGGACAACTACATCATCCCGAGGAACTAAATTTATATTTTGATTTTCCTCAAATACCATGTGCTTGGGCTCTATACTCCCACCGGTATAACCATCCTCAATGAACATAGCATTTAGGGTCTCAATAAGTTTTGGTACTATATGATGGACAATAAAACCTATAACTTTTTGACATTTCTGGATATCATACAAAATAACAACTGATTGTTCTGGGATCAAGTTTCCTTTCATGTAGGTTGTATAATTTAGCCTCTGCTGCACATCCCCAGATACGCAAGTGATTTAAACTGGGTTTTCTTCTTATCCACAACTCAAAAGTAATCTTTGAGACTGCCTTAGATGGCACTCGATTTAGGATATATGCAGCAGTCCTAAGAGCTTCACCCCACAAAAAATTTGGTAAAGATGAATTACTCATCAGAGCTCGCACCATATCCATAAGAGTGCGATTCCTCCGTTCAGCTACACCATTTTGCTCAGGGGTACCTGGCATGGTGTACTGCGCAACTATACCACACTCCTATAGATACTTAGCAAACAGCCTTGGATTACGACCTGTATGATCGTGCCTTCCGTAGTATTCACCACCACGATCAGATCATACTACTTTAATTTTTTTATCAAGCTGACGCTCGACTTCTGTCATATAAATTTTAAAAATATCCAGTGCTTCAGATTTCTCACCAATCAAGTACACATAGCCATAACGAGAATAATCATCAATAAATGTTGTAAAGTATTTCTTCTCGTTTAGTGTAGCAGGAATGAAAGGACCACATATGTCTATGTGTATAAGCTATAAGAGGCCATTACTTCTAGTAGCACCCTTATGTCTAGACTTGGTTAACTTTCCTTTAGCACAAATAATGCATATGTCATAGTCTGAAAAATCTAATGTGTTCAGAACACCTTCTTTAACCAATCTTTCTAATCTCTCTCTAGAGATATGACCTAAACACCTATGCCATAACATAGAAGAAGAATCATTGGTAAAACCACGTTTGGTACTCACATTAAAAGACAAAAGAGATTGTGAAAAATTTAGGTCAAGATTTAGAAGATAAAGATTATCAATTAATGAACCAGAACCAATAAATTTGGAATTATAAAAGATATTGATATTACGATTACTAAAACGAAATTCATAGTTCAACATATCAAGTTTAGGTACAGAGATCAAATTCCTGGACATTTAAGGAACATACAAAACATCTTCCAACTCTAATACAAAACCACTACTAAGGATAAGATGAACAACTCTCACAGCTTTAACTTGTACTTCTACCCCCTTACCCATGGTGAGTGTCCTTTGGATGGGATTGATTTTTTAGCTCCTTATGAATCCCTGCAAGGAATTAGAAATATGAATAGTAGCCCCGGAATCAATCCACCAAGTATTTGGCGGAACAATGGCTAAATTAAATTCTGAACACACTAGACAATGGGTGCTACCTTTCTTTGCTAACCATTTTTTGTAACTAAAGCATTCATTTTTGACATGGCCTCGCTTGTGACACCAGAAGCATTGAACTTTCTTTTTCCCCACTTTATGTGCCTGACTGAGTCCAACATCATTAACCTTTGTACCCCTTTTCCCAATTTTCTTATTATTTTTCTTGACTATTTTCTGATCCACAATGTGTGCCATATAAGGTTTATTGTGTCGGGTTTGCTCTTCTTTTTGTGTACACATACTAATTAGTTCTGTTAATTTCCACTTATCTTTTTGCGCATTATAAGTAGTTTTAAAAATATTGAATTGTGCAGGAAGATAAGTCATAATAAAGTGAATAAGAAAAGAGTCACTAACTTCTATATCCAAAATTTTCAATTGACATGCAATATCAGTCATTTTCATGATATGCTTACGCACACCGCTAAGACCATCATATTTTGCGGTTACTAATTGGGTCATAAGAGTGCTAGCCAATGACTTAGTTGAAATAGTAAAATGTTATTCTAGAGCCTTAAGGTAATCCTTAGCCAATGGTTTATCAAGAATGGCACCCCTAATATATTTAGGAATATTATTCTTAATATACATTAGACTAAGTCTATTAGACCTGTCCCATTCATCCCATTTCTTTTTCACTTCTGCACCACTAGTGTCTGTAGGCTTAGGTGGTTCATCCTACCTAATGGCTAAGTCTAAATCCCCAAGTCCCAAATTAAAAATTATTTCATCTTTCCAGTCCGAGAATTTAGACCCACTCAGGGCCTTCACACATGGTAATGAACCAACTGCCATGTAATAATAATATAAAATATAATTCACATAAAATCAAAATAATTAAGGCCATAATTAAATAGTTTAATTGATGGGAAAACAATCAAACTTTCCAGAATCAATAAGTAATGACTCAAAATAATTGACTCCGAATGGGATCAACATCACATTCAACAATATTTCCTTTGGGCCAATATTGTTAAATTTTAGTCTCCCACTAATGAAACAAATTTCACCTTTGAGACTAATTAATCATAGATAATATAATATCAAAAATAAATTCCTTTGAGAATAGTATATTAACTATTATATATTTTACATTAATTATCTCAATTCGTTTAATTGGACAAATCTCAATAATCCACCTTTGGATTAGATTATTGCTCGTCTCAACTAAACGCAATTCCAATCCTTTAACTTTAGCAAAAAATATAATTTTACCAGTAGATCCAAATACTATTGAAATTGTCATAAATGTGACACTTTGGTGACTAAACACACATTCCAATTTCGAGAATATTTATGCTTAGGATTGTTAAATGATTTAATTTTTCCAAATGAATCCAATTTATATATACACAATATGCATCAATATAAACATGAGGCAATATGCATAATAATGTATATGTTGCCAATTTCAATACATTTATAAAATAATATCCAATTTAATTAATCCATTATAATAACTTTAATTGGCAAAGGATAACAAAAGTAAAAGAAATGTCATATTATAAGACTTTTACATCACTGTAGCATAGACATACACATGACCCATATATATATATATATATATATATATATATAACAACCTTTAGATCAACAATATTTATAAAACCATGCATTATTTTCCATCATTACTTTATTGTACAATACCTGGGTTAAACAATAAATATCAATATATAATCATTTGACATATGGACATATATTACTTATATGCGAAATTATAAACATATACTCAAATAGTAAAATTCATACTGTTTAAAATAATTACTATATATCAAATACCAAACAATGGATTTCAGATAAAGTTGACAAATATATATTTAGTATATTCTATACACATCAATATTCTATCTATTTTATTCATATGCATGAAATAGAGTGATAGACTTCAGAACCAATAATATATATACATATATTTATATATAGATATAGATAATACATATATATATACACACACACACACACACACACACAACCAACCGTGTCCAAGGCATGTTCAAATATCATGTCAAGTCAATTTAGGTATCTGGGTAGTGGCAAGTCCAAGTTCTACTCTTTTGAACATGTGACCAAGGTATCAGTCATGCCAATAAAATGTATGCAGCACAATTTCACTTCAAGTAGAACTGAATAAAATGTATGCAGTACAATTTGACTTCAAGTAGAACTGAATCATTGTAGAAATTGCTCATATGAATTTTAGATGTATTTTTTTATGCTCAAACCCAAAATATAATGAACTGTAATAACGGTGTCAATGCTTGGAACGGTGTCCAATAGATACAACCCAATATGCTGGACATAGGAAACAGAAACTTCTGCTTCATGCATGTGTGTACATATATATAAACGTGAGATGCAGAGTAATATAAAATTATTTCATCCACAATATATATCAGTGTCCCTTTTTATCTCAAATAGGTATATAACATACTGTACTAATAATATATACAACCAAGAAATTTCATACGCAATATCAAAAATAAATTTATGCATTAGAGTCCATGTGAGGCTATGATATCGCATGTAAGCAACGATATTAAAGTACATGGTTCTAATGCATAAAAATTTAGTTTAGAAAAACATACCTGCCATATTTAGCAATTTGAATTTGAGATGAATTATATTAGAAACACTCTTCAACCCTCTATCTTTTCCTGTGAAACTGAGATGGTTTCAGACCTTTATTTCACGTATATATAGAGGGCTGGGACCGCCTCCAAAACCTTACCAAAAGGAGACATGTTGGTTCCATTAACCAACACATCCCTCTGTAATTAAATAACTGTTATAAAGTAAACAGTGTTCATATGATACAACGTTATATCTCCTAAATATAGATAATTATAAAGCAATTTAAATAAAAGTTAGGATTAATTATTATAATAAGACCATTGTATTCTTACATTGCATTTTTAGTATTTTTTGTAACGATCCAAACCTGAAGTCCGAATCACTAACCGGGTTCTTATCCGAACCTGAGAACGCCCATGAATAAAACGGTTAACTAAGGCATGTAAATGAATGATATGACTCTAAAACTAATGTAAACTAACCTCAATATATGAGGAGTAGTCCGAACTGAACACTCATTTTACGCAACATACCCTACCCTAACTACTAACTACTAACTATGTAACCGGTTCAAGGATGCCCCTAACTACATAACATCGTAGTATCCTCCAAATTGTTTGGGATAATATGCGAAAATTAAAATTAGGCATTGTTTGTGGTGGGATCTTGAGCTTATTTGCCAGACATGAACTTGATAATTTTAAAAAGACTTGAAGTGGATGGTATTTAATGATCCTTGACAAGTCCATTTTTGGTGTAAAACTTCAAAATGAAGTTCCAAATGTTGATAAACTTTTTTCACATACCAATCTAAATTCAATTTCAGTATTGAGGATCTCAGCTCTTTAATAAGTCTTTTAACACTAATTAGGTTACTAATTAAGTTAATAATGCATAATGAATTAATGAACTTAGTTCTCTGTCCAATTCAATCACATATATAGCCTTATGCCAAGTAAGATTCACGCATGGAGGTATAATTGTATTCATGCATGTATATACCCTTCTAGCACTTGCTAGCTAGTAGCTATTAATTAGAATTGTCACCGTATAGCTATATGACCAAAATACTGTCTCTAAAATCCGAAGCATATGTTAACATATCTCACACACACACACACACACACACACCCGTGTATATATAGCAAGGGTGGAGGTAGGTCAAGCCCACCAAAAATTTTTTTTGACCATATTAATTTTAGCCCAGTTAAAAAAAAATTAAGTAATATAGTATTAGCCCACTCCAAAATTAGTCCACCAATAAAGCCCAAATCAACTCAGTCACTATACTAAAATAAAGGTCCAAGCCAAATAAGTCCAGGACCGGCCCTGACCCAAGGCTCCAAAGGCGGTCGCCTAGGGCTCAAAATTTATAGGCCCATGGATGATGGGTCACCAGAAAACAAAATATTTAGGGCAAATCATTTCAGCCTCCCCAATCGCCTCCATCTCTGTTATCCTTCTCATCTCTGAACTTGCCCCCCCCTCTCTCTCTCTGCATCTGCAAACTACAAGATCTACAAGAATTAGAAGTTCTAAACCCCATATATTTCAGTTTATCTATCTGTCTGCAAGAATCAAAAGTTCAAAACCTATTACCTATATCAAAACCCATATTGGCATATCATTTCAGATTGTTCAAAAAATCAAAACCCATATTTCAGTTTCCATCGCCCGCTTCCCCAGTTCGGGTTCGCCGTTCGCAAGCTTCAGCCGCTGGCCCGCTACCTCTCAACTGTCAAGCTTGCCCCCCCTCTCTGCAACTGCTAAATTGTATGTATGGGTTTTGTTTTAATTTTATTTTATTTTAATTTTATTTTTTATTTTTTTTCTAAATCAACTAATCAAGATCTGTAATTCTTGTTTTGCAAACTAAATCCTATTTGGTGAAATTTTTTATGATCTTTTATATATATATATATATATATTTATATATTACCATATAAAGTAACAAAAATTGTATTGTATTTTGAGGTAATCACCGTAATCTAAATTTTATTTCAGCAAAACAAAATTTATTTATTTCTATTTCTGTTTTTTTTTTTTTTTTGGTCAATTATGTCTACAAGAAAATTTGAATCTGGCCATGAAAAAAGAAAAAAAAAAAATAGAATCTGAATTGGATTAGAAATGTGCAGAGATTGAATCTGAAACAATTTTTATCAACATGCCAAGCTTTTTGAAGATGGAAATCTTTTCAGAACTAAAAAAAAATCATTACAAAGAGCTTGTAAAGCTCTAAAGTTACTTCTTGAAAATTAAAATACTTACAAAAAACATGCTTTTGAGTGAATTGCATAGTGTTGGAAGGGGCTTGCCATGAACTACCTCACACTCTGCTTCCACTAGTAGATTCTCAAATAGGATTCTTAAATTGGTCAAAATAAGAGATAGGGTACTGAGTGGTGAATTGTTCAGAAATAAATTGGTAATTTTTTTTTATTAATTACCCAAATAGGATTTTCTATGCCTTAATCAGTCAATTGTCTAAAGAAACAATGTTAGTTAACTCAAATTGAATTAAACAACAGTTGATTTTGGTTGATATATTTTGATTTAGCCCATCCCATTGAGAAATTCTGTGTAATGCACGAAGGATATAATATTCAATCTTTCTGCCATATTTTTATTTTCAAATTTTGGTTTTTGATTTTCTTTTGTTATTAGAATGCATAATATCAGGATATTGATTTGTTAATTTTGAAGATGATTCCTAAACTGATGTATTGTACTTTGTTATTGGATTAATTTAACATATGAGCTGAGTATAATATGTGCTAATCACACCTCTTTCTACAGAGAGGTGTCCAACATTTTGACTGAAAGCGTAGTTGGGTTGGGTTGATACATGATACAAATAGTTCTTAGAGGTGGTGTTTTAATTGTTATGAGTGAGATTGTGAAACCTTTTCCTCACAACTTGAGTGTTTTCTAATTTGTAGGGTTAGCATGGGGCCTTAACATTCAAGAAGAACAAGGTTCAAGAAACATGCCTCCTCAGTCATCAGGTAACAAACTCTTACTTTTTCTAAAATTTTAATTTGCATTTTTAGCTATTAGTTACGTTTATTTATTCATGTTTTACATACTAATTTTTTGTTTTTGTTTTTGTTTTTGTTTCTACATACATATATATAATATTGATATGATTTGATGCTCTAACAGTTTATTAATGGGAATTAAAGACTTAGAAGTTTAGTTTTCAATTTCAGAATATATGTTTTACAAGTTTATTAACACTGTACTACTTTTCCTCTTTTGTCTTAATAATATAGGTGTCTTTTCTGAAAGAGGAGAGTTGAAGGGAATAGGTGGAATAGGGAAAAAGGTATGTTTTTTTTGCCTAGCTAATTGAACCATATAAATCCCCTTATCGTTGTAGCAGTGATGTTGGTTTTAAAATGACCAATTATGATAGGAAGTCTCTTTTCAATTTATCTTAATCAAATGTATATCTATGCAAGAGGATTACGTGATTCTAGATGACAATTCTAGATGAGGATGTTAATGTCAACGTTATGAGGATGTTGATGTCAACGTTGACTCTAGTGATGACGACTGATGAAGGAAATTTAGAGTTGAAGACATGCTATTGAGCGTAGTGTCTAATTCTTTTAGTTACAAGAATTTTGGTCACTTCACACACGATTTTTTAGTTCCTGGGTGTGTAATATGATTCATCTACTTGGGCTCTCTTCTTTTTTATCTTCTAAACCTTAATTTTATCTGTGAAAAAGAAAAAGAAGACTATATGCAATTTTAATTTAACTTTATCAATTTGAGCATTGACAAAGCTTCTGAAATGTTGAAACTGAAACAGCAAAGAAGAGAGAGTCCACCAATAAGAATTACCCAACTTAGGACAAAATAAGCTCTCTGAGCGTCTTGACTAATATTGGCTTGGGAGACTTCTATAGATATGGACTTGTAGAGAGAAAGATATATGGTTGGGGGCACAAAAGTGTACGACAACTGTGAACCAACGATAGGGTTGTGAGCTTTTGACTTGTTTCATGCATCGGATCTAGGAAGTGTGTAACAATGAAATGGAAAGTTCTGATGCACTCAAAGTTACAGACAGAGACAATAATTAATATTATATATTTGTAACTTGCTTTACTAATCTAATATGATACTACGTATATCATACATACATATATATATATACATACATACATATATATATATATATATATATATATATATATATATGTTTGTAACTTTATACTTAGATATATTTTGATTTAGCCCACCCCATTGAGAAATCCTAGATCCGCCCTTGGATACAGAGGTAGAAATGCAAGTTTCTTTAATCATATATATATCATATATGTGTGTCATACTATGCGTGTACATAGCATAGTGCTGTCAATTGACAACTTATGGAGATGCATGAATTCATATACCGATTTGTTTCATTATCGAGAATCTTCTTTTTTTGGTTTTCTAGTTGTTTATGTTATTAGCATATCTGAATTGTCTCTAAATAGATAAGTTGAATGCATATCTGACTTGTGTATAATGCATTCCTCAATAATCACTAGATTCAAAATCAATTCTACTGAATTCCGTTACATTTTTGAAGATTCCACTAGTCTCAAATGCAAAATGTAGCACTCAACACTTCAATTAATGATGCATATTTACCGGAATAGGGTCCCACATGCTCTCTCTATAGAACCTTGATCCACATGCTCTCAATAACCCTAGTTAAGTTCAATATAACTAGGGTTAAATTGGTATGTAAATAACCGACTCTCAGCTCGGAACGTTGGCGCCATTGTTGAGAAACAGAATCAAGCTTTGATCAAATCAAGGGCTTTCTCTATAGAACTCTCTTTAAATAGATAATGAAACGTTGATGGATATTTTTGTTGTCGTAAATACAGTTTGAGAAATAAATAATGTACGTTCCTTGTCCAAATCAAGCATACATAGCGCATACACACACACACACACATATATTTTCAGTACTTGTCCATATCTCTGAATTGTCCTTGATTTACCGAGTTTTGTTATAGGATTTGGTTTCCCCTTATGGTGTTTATATTCCTTATTCTGTCCTATCCTTATGGTGTTAGGCTTATTAATTATAAATACAGATTTAGGACCATTTTTTCTAATCAAATTAGAATTTCTGAATATTAGCATCTCTGAATTGTCCAGTTGATGGATATTTGAAACTCAAGGATGGCATATCTGAATTATACCTATTTGTTTCATATGCATCTCTGAATTGTCCTTGATTTACCGAGTTGATGGAAGTTTCCTTATATTGATAGGTTTTGTTATAGGATTTGGTTTCCCCTAATGGTGTTTATATTCCTTATTCAGTCCTGTCCTGTCCTTGTGGTGTTAGGCTTATTAATTATAAAGACAGGTTTAGGACCATTTTTTATAATCAAATTAGAATTTCTGAATATTAGCATCTCTTGATGGATATTTGAAACTCGTGGTGTTTTAAAATATACTTTGACATTTGACAATAAAATCATCTAGCAGTGCTTATGAATTCTTCTTTTTGGTTTTCTGAATGGTTGCTTTTGTAGTTGATGTTATTAGCTATCTGAATTGTACAAGTTGACTTGTGCTTCATGCATTAACTCTTGTTGTTTAAACAGAAAAAAAAAATCGTCAAATGTGCGGTGTGTAGACATAAGGGGAGCGTAGACATAAGGGGAGCGATGCGTGGCTGGATCCTGTATATACGAACAATTCTTGTGTGAAACCACTCACACAAGAATCTCTCTATAGGACTCACTTTCTGTAATTTTCACTTTTTATAATTTTCTATCTCTCAAACTCTATTGCGAAAAGATGGTGAGAAGGAAAATTCGTATGCCTAATTACTCCCATATTGCCTGACTTTCTAAAGCTGCTATTCATATATATATATATACAGCATCTGTACCATATGTATCTTATTGAAGAATCATCTAACACATTCTAGCAATTAATCTCATTTTCTAAAAAAAATAAATGAAAAAAAGAATTGTTTATGTTTTCATTTTGCAAAAAAATTCTAATTATTTTGAACTAGAGATATGTTATTATATTAAAATCTGAACTGTCAAAGTCATGTATTCATTGGAGTTGCAAAATGCTTGTGATTTGTGAAGATAATCATAGATAATGTTAGAAGTTCAAGTTAATTTTTCTTTTTCTTTTTTTAGTTCATGTAATATTTAATTAAACCACAAAAAAATTATTTGATAATTTTATACCATTTAATATTTGGTGGACTTGTTCAATTCACACTGTTGTTTGTTAAGATGTGCCAATGGTACGGACTCTAATAGTTTCTCAATCGACCCATTTGTTGTTTGTTAAGATGTGCCAATGGTACGAACTCTAATAGTTTCTCAATCGACCCATTTCTTATTTCAAGCCCATTCCCCCCTTTAATCTATCATGTTATCCTCCTAGTCTTGGTCCAAAAACCCTAATTACAATAGTTGAATGGTGGGTTTAAATTTTCTAGTGTGTTTTTTATTGCAGGATTTGCAACCACGTGTGAATTTGTACACGTGTAACGGTGTAAGGATCATGGTGGTTGTTAGATGATGATGAGGAAAGCTGATAATCTGATGGAATGTTTTGTTTGGGGTTTGTGGGTAAATTGACTTTCTTGCACTTTTAAACTTTGTTAGGATTTTCGGTGCGGACTGCGCTAACTTGATGACAAATCGACTTTAAAATGACAATGAGGGGAGGGCACCAAAGACCAAATCAAATGGGATTCTAGAGAGGAAGGATAATGACTTCCTCAAGAAGTTTGAAGGAAATGGTGAAGCTAAAGACTCTTCCCACCCTCTTTCATTTTTATTTTTTACAGAACACTTCGTAATTCCATCTATTTTGAATAACATATTTTAACCAAGGGCTTTGCCTCTAATTCATTAATTTTTTCTTACTTCATAAAATAAAAGATTAACAATTCAAGTCTTTATAGAGGGCAAAAGTAAATGTACCTATATATATTTATGTTTCCTGTCAAGGTATAAAAAATAAAATACATATTTTAGATCTTGAATAAAATTTGAGACCTAAACATTTCCCGCTAGAGTATATAGGTAAATAATGTTTTTGGTAAATTTCTATTTAAGGTTAGATTTTTTTAAATTTAAACCACCTGAGCAATGCAGAATACCTCAAGAGTAGATGTCTCGATAGCCCCGTGGGTGCTAGGGTTCGACTCTTTGTATCTATCAATCTAACTTCTAACACTTCTTGTCTTGAAAATAAAAATAAAAATACCCCAAGAAACTTGTAGCAATAAGGTAGTTGATAACTTTCCAAAAAATAAAAAATAAGGTAGTTGATAATTCTTAAATTTTGTGAGTCTTAAAGTTTGGTGTAGACAGTAGTAAACTATGGAAATTGCACAAACACCCATTGAGGTTTCGGTCAATACCACGCAGATGTTTGGTTAACGGATTTTTGGACAATAACACTTCCTAAGGTTTCAAAAAAATTCATTGACACCCCCCCCCACACACAAAATGACCATTTAACCCTTTGACTTGTCAATAACCATTAAATTTACCAATATAACCCTTTCTAGCTAATTTTATAGGACAAAAATAACCTATCCATCTCAAGCTAATACCCACACTGGCCGCCACCACACCCACAACCAACACCCTCCCACACTTCCAATAGATTAAAAACTTTCTACAAAATTTGGAAACAAGCAAATAACATGATTGATCTTTTTGCTCTGTGAACAAGATTCTAAATTTTCATTTCAATCTCAACTTTCGTTTTTTTTACTAATTTCGCTCTTGCTATTCGTCGGATCTCTTAACGACGACAACAACTGCTACGTCGTTCGGGTCGCCATCCAACCAACACCGGCCACCCCATCCTCTAGCACGGTGGTTTCCCCCTTCATAAATTGATCCATGGCTCAATCCCAGCACTGGCCGTGCTACATCTGTGCCGCACTAGTTGCACCTACTCCAATGACCGCTTCTACTGCAACATCGGCGACTATGACAGCGGTTTTCAGATGGTAGCGATGTTGGTGGTTCCGGCTATTTGCCATATTTTTCCTTGATTTGATTTTTTTCTTCTCCGATTCAAACTTTTAAGAGTTCTAAGACTGGTTATTTATTTATTTATTTTCCCATACTGCCGCGGCGGTGGAGAGGTGGTGGGTTGAGAACAAACCAATTGGAGGTGTACAGTTTGGGTGGATCAGTGGTTGTAGTGGGTTAAATCGGTGAGTTACATAGAAGATGGGGGTCAGGTAGTGGGTCTGAGGGTGGCAGTGGGTTGTAGTAGCGATGGTGGGGGTTGTGGTTGCGGTGGGTTGTGGTGGCGATGGTAGAGGATGGGCGGTAGGTTGCGGTGGTGATGGTAGGGTTGTATCGATGGTGGGTGTAATACCCCTAGTTTAAAAGGATATTCCTGGGTTTTTTTTTAATTTTATTATTTAACTGCATTTTATTTTATTATGTGTGATTAGTTGAATTAATTGATTAATTTGATTATTTAATAGGAATTATTTGTTTAAGTGTTTTAATTAGTTAATTGACTTAATTGTCTTATTTATATGTTATTTTTTTAAAATTGCTTGATTATTTGAGTTAACTGTTCTAATTATTTATTTGGCTTTAATTTCATTAAATTGTGTTATTTGATTAATTACCTGATAGAATTGTTATTAATTAATTGTTTTCATTTTTGAATTTGCATGTTTATAGTAAGTTAGGTTTACAATTTACATGGGTAGCCGACGTTGATTATAACCTAGGTACCTATGGGCCGAGTTATATCTTTATTGACTTAGGGTTATCAGGATTCACCTATAAATATAAGCAATACGGTGGTTTAGGGTTTTAGAAAACTAAGTCAAATTCTGTAAAAAACAGAGAGACCTTGAGGTACGGAGAACAACTGAATCTTTTGTGAGACAAAATACAGAGAGAACCTTAAAAGATTAAAGGAGGGATTCAAGGAGGAGTTCGGGACTGAATTAGGAGCAGTAGAGGTAGTTTAGCACAACCGACGTTGCCGGATTTGATAGAGACGACGGTTAGAGATTTTAATCTAAAGTCTCAAAGGCAAGTCTCTGTTTTTCTCTATCCCTTTAATCTGTGTTCTGTGCATGCTT